ACACCCTGAGCACCCAAACCGTCAACCCGCATTTCGTGCTGGGCATACGGTGCTACTAGGATGCTCCGGATGAGGAAGGTGATTATGAAGATGATGATGAGGAGGATGATGACGATGATGATGACGATGATGGAGGATGGGGATGAGGATTTTGATAATGATATTGGTAATGATATTGATGAGGATGATGACGAGGATGAGGATGACGATGATGATGACGATGTTGATGATGATGATGATGATGATGATGATGATGATGATGGCGATGATGATGATGATGATGATGATGATGATGATGATGTTGATGATGATGATGATGGTGACGATGGTGACAATAATGATGATGGCGTGATGATACCGATGGTGATCCAATACTTTCTTACTTGTGTCGCACCCTGTAAATTTGGCTTCAGCAGCATGAGCAACAGCCACGTTGCTGTTGGTCGCCACAACCATGTACGGTAAACCCTAAACCCTGAACCCTAGACCCATCATCGATAGCCTTTCATGCTGTTCTTCATCACCAACACCTGCAACAGAGTCGGGCTCTGCAATATTTTTGGCAGAGATTCCTCCCAGAAACCCAGAACTTAACCCCCACATCCCTCAAGCCCCTAAACCCTCAACTTCACACAGCTTACCATGAAAGCTTGAATAAACGGAAGTAATAGTGTTCGGGTTCCTCACTCCCATGACCCTGCGTACAGTATAAAACCTTTCCAAGTCTTGTTCTAGTTAGTTTGGCCCCTATTTTTTGCTTGCCCAAGCCAGGATTGCGATCTCCTAAACCCTGAACCCCTTAACCCTGAACCCTAAAGCCCTGAAAGCCCGAAGCCCTAAACCCCAAACCTTCAAAGCCGGAAACCGCAAGCACTAAACCCGAAACCCTAACAGGGGGGCCTTAATAATCAGAATAGGCTTTTGGGGGTATATTAAACTACAATCAAAATAAGGACCCCCACCCAAAAAAAATAGTATAGATAATTATTTAATAATTATCTATACTATTTTGGGTCATTATTTAGGCCCCTACACTAACCATCGCAAGCTGGCATCGCGATGCGCCGCAGCACGGCCGCCGGACCAGAGGACCGAAACTTCTTCGCGTGCAATCGCACCTAAAGGGGGGCTTTAGGATTCTTTGCCTTTTCAAGAGTTTCTAGGGTTTTAGGATTTTTGGTGATTTTTGGACTTGTAGAACTTTCTTTGGAGATTTTTTTTTTGAAGATTTTAGGTCTTAGGGTATTGGGTTTGGGGGGTGCTGTTTGCAGCCTTTGCAGCGTCTCCTTTGGTTCCTTTGGTTTGACAAGGTCTTATCTGGCCTCTTGAGGTGTATTGCGCTGAACAAGTTTCATACAGGGGCCTATATAATTACCTATAATATTTTGGGGGCTCCTTATTTTAATTGTAGTATAACGGGCCCCAAAACCTTGTTCAAATTACTAAGGCCCCTATGTTAGAAAGGATTGTAGTAAGGATCCCGATATGTTCAGGCCCTTCACAGACCTAAACCCTAAACCCTAAACCCTGAACCTCTAAACCCCTAAACCCTTAAACCCTGAACCCCAGACCCTGAACCCTGAACCCTAAAACCTAAACAGGGGATTTGCTAATCAAGGTTTAGAGTTGAGGGTTCGGTCTACATTGGGTTGAAAAGTAGAGGGAGACGGGGCTCAAGGTTGAGCCTAAACCCTAAACCTTAAACCCTTAAACCCTGAACCCTAAACCCTAAACCCCTAGACCCCTAAACCCCTAAACCCCTAAACCCCTAAAGCCCTACACCCCTAAACCNNNNACCCCTCAACCCCAAACCCTCAACCAAGGTTGTGGGGCTCAGGAGAGCCTTGTACGGTCCGCGGGTAGCTGGAAAGCTCTCGCTCAAGGCTCCAAGGGACTCGTATCTTAAGGGGCTCAGGGTTTAGGGTTTA